TCAGGTAATGGGGTGACATCAAAACATGCAAGCTAAAAGGCAGACAAAGGGGTGAAATGTATGAGTAAAGTGGTCTGGGTCGTAACACAGGGATAACACAATTCCCTTTTTTTGTAAGACGTATAGTAGATCCCAAAGTTACCACCGTCTACCACTACCAGCAGTTTATTTATAGACATTTCACAGATTTATTCTGAGAAGTGACGTCAAAATGTCCTTTGTGGGGTTCATTGTTTCTCCTTGATTTGCTCTAGAAGTCATAGTGTAGTATCCAAGTAAAAACTTCTTGCATGGGGCCTGAGCATTCTTTCAGACTTGTCATTACTGGTAACTCTAACTCAACTGTGCTATGAGCCAGGGCTGTTTGTTTTCAGTTTTTATTTTGTTTAAAATGTCCTGGGAATTTCACTTTTACAAAAATTAAATGGTGAAAATCAGTGCAAAAAACTAACTTCTGTTTTCTGGGTAAATATTAGGTTAACATTTGGGAACAAAAGGACAGAAAAAAAGCAACAGACAGAAAAATAAGTGTATTATAAATAAAAGGAGTTAATGCTGTGGCTTACTGCATAAACTACACATTAACACTCTGCATGTGTCACGCGCACACAATTTTCCACTACGTTGCTGCATTTCGACAGCCTCACATTTACACCTAGACTAATTTTATTAACAAACACCATCTATCTAATGTAATCAGATTTTTTTTAACATAATCAGTATTTTGATACACTTGAGTGGTCCAAAATTTGGGTGAAAATCAGTTTAAAACAAAAAACCACCACCCCCAACTTTTTTAAAATCAATAAAACAAAGGGCCTCAATTGTGATTTAGATATGGTTATAGCATACAATTTAAAAAAGAACACTGATATCTAAACAAGTTTTTCTTTTTAAATTTTTTTTCAGATCTGTTTTCTATCGCTCATATAAAGAACAAGAGTCCAAGAAAGGATTTGACCAAGAAGAAGTTTTTGAAAAACCTACACGTGAAACTTGTCAGGGTAAGGGATGCTGGCAGATGGAAGAAACAAAACCTGCAATTAACAGCCAGACTTCATCAGACTGAGTCCTTCATGTTAACCTTACTATATTTGACTATTTATATTGCACTGTAAACATGTAAATGATTGATAAATTTGTGCTCTTGGTACAAAGAAATTTGCATGGTCAGTAAAAAACAAAAATTCCCTTTCTGGATATGTTAGCAGCATGTACATTTATAGTAGAATCTGCACTTACTAATATGTCATGAATTCACAACACTGCAGTATACTGACACAGAATGCAAATATGGTGTCTACTATTCTGAGAACGTGATCCTTAATGTTTTTGTAGAAATACTTTGAAGGATTTTCGGCTCTGAATTCATTTGTCTTTAATCTCAGGTATGAGGCATGCCATCTATGACAAACTAGATGATGATGGTTTGATAGCACCTGGTGTACGTGTGTCAGGAGATGATGTCATCATTGGCAAAACGGTAACTCTGCCTGAGAATGAAGATGAACTCGAAAGCACTAATAGACGATACACAAAGAGGGACTGTAGCACTTTCCTACGAACTAGTGAGACTGGTATTGTAGACCAGGTCATGGTAACCCTTAATCAGGAAGGATACAAGTTTTGCAAAATTAGGGTGAGTACCAGTTTCTATGGCTTCTGGGTTTAAAAAAAAAAGGAAAAAATGAGTATCAAGTCACTGATCTGATGTTTTCTGTTGCCTCCAGGTGCGCTCTGTGAGAATCCCACAAATTGGAGATAAGTTTGCCAGCAGGCATGGTCAGAAGGGTACCTGTGGTATCCAGTACAGACAGGAGGTAGCAACGTTTTCTCTCTTATACTTGTCTTTCACTGTAGAGTGAAACTTGCCTATTAATGTGGATTGCCTGTGAAATAAGTTACCTTAATATATTGATTTCAATTTAACCTCTGTTCAATTCTTATTTAAAATGTCTTTTGAGTCACTTAAGTTGAACTGGATTTTTATTTTGTTGGAACTCCCTAGCTTCTCACGGGGCATAATGAGAATCTCTTTCCTGCTTTAGGATATGCCTTTCACCTGTGAAGGTATCACACCTGACATAATCATCAACCCCCATGCCATCCCTTCCCGTATGACAATTGGTCACTTGATTGAATGCCTTCAAGGGAAGGTAAGGAGAACAGTTTATGTTGTGTAGCTAAAATCTGAGAAGCAAACTGCACTTGTTTTACCTTGTGGAGAAGCTGATCTGCTAGTTCCCGGTATTTGTTAACCCACTAAAGAATGATAATCAAGTTCCCATTTGAGGATCTAGTAACAAAACAAAAGGTATATTAATTTTCTTAGGGAGAAGCCAGAGTGCTATCTTCAGTGGGTCAAACCACGATGTGTTTATAGCAGAATTTCTGTGCTGCTTTTCTTGACAGAATTACCATACAAGCATAATTAACCCTAAAAATCCCTAAGCGTTCTCCTAATCTATGGAAAAGAAAGAAATAACAGAGTTAGGCTAGTGTTAAGTGCTTCTGAAAATCCCACCTGTAACTTGTGCATCTAAGTTTTGTTCAACAGAAAAATATCCACTGCATTAGAAAGTTAAGGTTACAGTCTTGGGTATTGGGTCTGAAATATTAACGGGGGAGTAGGTTAGCTTTTTCAAGTTATCCTGCGTACTGTCTGAAAACTCTCATATAGAATGCACAGCTTGTGTCTATAAAAGTTCATGGTATTCAGGAAACCCTTTTTCTCCATAGGTATCGGCAAACAAGGGAGAAATTGGTGATGCTACACCTTTCAATGATGCTGTCAATGTGCAGAAGATTTCCAATCTATTATCAGATTATGGCTATCATCTGAGAGGAAATGAGGTATAGTGTTCAAAATGCCAATATAGCTAAAGATTATTGGTCTGTTTTTTGATAAATTTTGTTAATATGTCAAATTTAGGCTTATGCTTCAGTGATTGTATTCTTTACTTCAGGTTCTCTACAATGGCTTCACTGGACGCAAAATCACATCACAAATCTTCATTGGTCCTACTTACTACCAGAGGTTGAAACATATGGTAGATGACAAAATTCATTCTCGTGCAAGAGGGCCAATTCAAATTCTTAACAGGCAACCAATGGAAGGTAGATCTCGGTAAGAATATTTGTGGATTTTCTTTTTTACGAGTGTCCTTGAAGCCTCACAGTTGGGTTGCTAAGGCAGAGAAAAATTAGCTGCCTCAGCTGTGCAGCTGTATCTTAATTGGCTCATCCAATTAGCCACCCATTTGGAGCTGATGGTAGTGTGCTTAGGTTTGGACAGATAAAACATGACTTAGTTTGTTGTGAAGTTGTGGTTTGTCTTTTCAAACACTATATATTGTCATCCGTTGTAGAAATTTTCTTAGTCATGTGACTGCTAGTGGGAGCAGTAGTTTTATAATGTGGCTGACTTCTTCCCAATGATCGTATTTTTGGGAGAAGAGATGACAACTTGCTGGGTACAGAGGCACCTATTTGTACTAATGCTGATGTATTTGTACAGAATTAGGTTTCCATATTAGCTACTGGAATCATAATTTCTGACTTAATGACACAATATCCTCCCCACCCCCTTATAGCGATGGTGGCCTTCGTTTTGGAGAAATGGAGCGAGACTGTCAGATTGCTCATGGAGCAGCTCAATTTTTGAGAGAGAGATTGTTTGAGGCTTCAGACCCATACCAAGTTCACGTTTGCAATCTTTGTGGAATAATGGCAATAGCTAACACAAGGACACACACGTACGAGTGCAGGGGGTGCCGTAATAAAACACAGGTATGTATGGATTTCCTCTGCAAATATTTCTACTTGCAGTCAAGAACAAACAGTGATTAAAGGAGTATGATGGTGAGTGAGGATGAAGAGAGCAAGTGGTAAAAGAAACCCAAAAATTAACCCAATAGTTACTATATAACAAATGGGCCAAGTGTCAGAGTTCACTCATATGTTTCCCTATAATTGCCAGAGTTCTCGCTGTGTCATTTGGCAGGAAATTTCACTTATTTATTTTATAATACTGGGTTTTCAGAGAACTTAACTAAAAGTGAACATTAAATCTTTTAACTTTTGGGGAAAAAAGTGATACTGTAAAACTCATGATTTCATGGCTTTGCCACTATAACTCTTCAGAATATTATATTTTGGTTGGGAGAGGAATAAACTAACTTGTCGCATATTTGACATGCTGGGGGAGGGAAATCACAGGTTTTGAATTAATATGGAAATTTTATATTCAAGTATAAACAGGATTGTTTTTCTCTACCATAACTCGGTTATTCCTTCAACCTCTAAAGAGCGTAATTGTCTCGTAATAGTTAATATGCACAAATAAAATATCTTGACCGATAGGAGCAAAAGAGATCTTTTGTCTACAGATTTTGACCATTGAAGGACAAGTCTACTGTATTAAAATGATGATAAATTATAAATAGTGTTGATGGTCTGGACCCTGTAGAGGAACATATCAACACTATTGAGTAAAGTAATGCCACCCTGGATGGAGTGTGATCAGTCATCACTTCAAGGTGAATTGTAAAGACTTTCCCTAAAGGGCTAACAAAAATATAACTTGATATGAAGCACTAGACCAAAAAAAATAGCCTTGTAATTTTGGAACCAAAATGTTACTATTTACTTAGTGGGTAGGTAGAGTGAAATTCATCTTTAAAAAGATGCCATGTACTAAATTTTCTTACTTCCTTTTCAGATTTCCTTGGTGCGAATGCCATATGCCTGTAAACTCCTCTTTCAAGAGCTGATGTCCATGAGTATTGCACCTCGTATGATGAGTATTTAGCCTTTAAAAGGCTGTGCTTTAGTTCTGACTTTACGTATCTGCTTGCTCTGGTTCTAGTGTACCATTTTAAAAGATTTTAAATGCAGAATGTTACATATGTCATTTACATCAGGTTATGTTTTGCATCTGAACACTTTGTTTAATGATCTTGAGCTTACTTTTTGTAAATAGAAATAAAGATTTGTAGTCATATGTGAATTACATTTATTTGTATGTCTGCCAAAAGCATGTAAGCAAAACATTACAAAAAAGGAAGAATGAGTCAGATAAGGAACTGATTATCAGGCTAGAAGAAGTCAGTGGCTGTAGCTTTCCGAAACACTAACTTAAACTGTGCATAAATGATATAGTCCTCACGTCACAGCTCTGCATCATCATCTGGGAAAAAACAAACAAAAAGGGATGTGGTTTCATAATTACAAGAGGGTAACACTGCAGATACCCCAATATCAGTGGATTGAATTTTCTGTTCTTTGTTATCCACATTTTAAATCAATCAGTCCTTTCCTCTGTTTCTTTCTTCTGAGGGAACTGGATAGCTTAGGGTAATGGAATTTAGGGAACCTTTCACTAAGGTCATTGGAATACGTCCATTGTCAGTAGTTGGCTAACTACATAGACATTTAGACTGTGCTTATTACTGATGCATCTGAGATGCCATCTGATGACTTCATGCCTGGCACTGCCTGAGATTGTCAGGCAGCAAGTCAGAGCTGGCATGCTGCTTGGAGAATAGCTTCAGGAGCCGCAAAAGTGACAGCTGTATGTGGATGAGAGCTAGAACTGCTGGTGGGAACTGACCAAAGCAAGGACTCCTAATGAGCAGAAGGCTTGGGCAGTGGCCTCTAGAAAAAAGTGAGAGATTCAGCTTGGTGTGGGGAAGCAGGAGGGTGGGTCCCCTGAGCACAATTAGGAGGTGCAGGCAGGGAGGACTGGGAGTGGAACGCTGTCTGAGGGAGAACCCTCTCCACGAAGCGCTGTGGGAAGACTGGTCGCTCAGACAGAGAGGGCTAGAGACCGGGGCCCTGAATTGAGACATAAGGAACTGAGAACAAAGTGCTGATAGACTCTTTTGTGGGTGACTTGAGATGTCCCTGGAGATGGGAATGGAAAAACACACTATGTATTTTTACTGCAGGAACTGGAGAATGGTTTTACAACCAGGCTTTTGGGGAACTATAGCACTGGTGTAGATGAATAAATTGAAGTCAGACTATGTACCTTTGGGTGAGCAAAAGGGAACCAGGCTCAGCACAACTGTCATGCATTGGATGGCACCCGAGGCAGGGTTGCCCTATCACAATGCCCCTTTAACAGCCTTGAGGTACACTCCTTTTATAGACTGGAGTTTATATAGTCTTAATTTATTGGATGCATGTATCCCCTGCATTTGTGATAATGGATTTCTAAAATTAGGTATAATCTGGTCAAAACCAAGCACCTTTAGCAAAGGGCATAACTTAGTTATGTTAGTGTCTGACTTGACCCAATTCAGTAAATTACTCGATGGTGGGATTCATTTATACTCTTGCTTCACTGCTGGACAATCTTTTTATTTTTTAAAAACAGATCTTCCAGCTATTCAGATGTAATTTAAAAGAGCAGCAATCTAGAACCTCCATGAATGGATTATCACACACATTTATAGGTTAGTGTATGTAAAGGTTGCTAGGATGGAGGAAGAGCAAGGCAATTAGGACTACATGTATTGGCAAAATAGTCCTGCAGTTTTTGGAAGTGTTTTTAAAGCCTTTTATACTACTTGAAATTCTTTTCCACTGCATGCATCCGATGAAGTGAGCGGTAGCTCACGAAAGCTTATGCTCTAATAAATTTGTTAGTCTCTAAGGTGCCACAAGTCCTCCTTTTCTTTTTTCAGATAACATGGTGTCTGGAAAACCAGTGAAATCACCATCATAGCCTGAAAGCTGAGCTATTTGGAACAGAAGGGATTTTTAGTCCAATGTTTTAACTTTTACCTAGTTAACCTCCTATACCTAACACATATTTGGGAAAAAGCATGTCTTTATTAAATATGCAGCAACCCAAGTCTCGGTTATTTGTGAGCTCTTACGCTGGAGGCCTCCGTGAAGTGCTTCAGCAAAATAGAAAAGACTGGGTTTGACGTTAGAAATATCTGCAATCTACAGCTAACAGTTTTAAATGCAACTTTTCAGGTTGTTCTCTTATATCCTAAACAACCAAAGGGCGTAAAACCCATTTTAAAAAAAAAATCTTTGCACATATATAACTGTGTTAAAACTCTGCACATATTACCTACCTTTAGATATGGGTATTTTCATGTAAGGCATTGACAGTAATTCGTGCAGAGGCTGTAGCCTCTCCTTTGGAGTTTGATGCATGACACTCATACTCTCCAGCATCCTCTTTACTCAAAGGAGATATCTACGAAAACAAGCAGCATGTAGCCTTGTTTACTACAGAGGATTTGGTCTCAAGTTACTTTGCCTTATTGTTGGGTTGTATAACAGCAGTAAACAATAGCACTAGTAACAGACTCACTACGGGTAACTGATGGAGTGGGAATTAACACTCGGAGGCTGCACATGTCCAGAATATTTCCTTGGCCAGTAGTATGGAAAATGCTCATGTTCTGAACGTACAATAGTTTGTTTAAAAAAATTGCATCATAAACTGAACTTCTAAAAATAATGAGAATTTATTCCCTATTAACAAAGAGAGCACAAAACTCAATCCTGACTTCTTTCAGCTGAGCCAAAGGGCCATCAGTGGCTTCAGTCAGCCTGACTTGGTCAGTAGTGGTTTGCCCTAGTTCCCAAATCAGATAGGTGGCACAGTACGGCAAGCGCTCTGGTACCTGTCCTGGAGCTCAGCAAGTCAATCCACTCCGGGTTTCACTCTGTCTTACACATCAGGATTTGCTTTAGCCAGACTTCAAACCTTTTTTATGTTTGCTTAGGTGTGTGTCTGTGATGTTTTAGAACTTCCTGTTGTCACTGAGAGGGAGACAGGAAAAAGCAGTAGTCCTAATGCTCCTCTCCTCATCATATTTTGGTTGACTCAGTAGCGTATTTGCCCTTCTCCAAAGCTTCCACCTCTGTTTTGGTGTACAGCGTAAGCTAACGCTGTTGAGTTCCATTCCCCAGCCACCACCTCATTGGGCAGCTGAAGAGATTGCCCAGTGTGGTCTGTTCTTGCCAAAGCAAATCTGTCATGCCTGACCTATTGTGCCATCCTCTCTGCTGACTTCCCTGCTGCTGCTCTTTCCCCTGTCCAATCCACTTCCATGCATTACAGCTCAGGCCCTAGGATGCTGCTCCAATTGTCACGCTCCCACTCAAGTAACTCCCTCTCTGAGAACTTTTTTTTTTAAAATAACCTTTTAACTTTAAGATTTAAATGTCTGGGACGCAGATTCCTGAGCTTTCACATTCCTTGAGGACACAGGTTAGAGATGCTAAGAGCAAAGGTTTTCTGTGAACTCCAGGACAGACCAGTCCTGTCATCTTCGCATAGCAATCATCAGTCTGAGCTGTAGGACATGGAATCAAGTGGAGGTAAAGGTCTCTGCCCCTTTCCTCTTTAAGTAAACTTATACTTAGCAGTTCAGAGTTCTTTGAGGAGGGCATCTCATCTGGCCAAGCTTGTAGCTATGGGGAACAGAGTCTCTTGAGCTGTACAGACTTGATTGGAAAGAGTGCCCCAGCAAGACAGGTACAAAATATAAACAGGTTTCAGAGTAGCAGCCATGTTAGTCTGTTTTCACAAAAAGAAAAGGAGGACTTGTGGCACCTTGGAGACTATTTGAGTATAAGCTTTCGTGAGCTACAGCTCACTTCATCCGATGAAGTGAGCTGTAGCTCACGAAAGCTTATGCTCAAATAAATTGGTTAGTCTCTAAGGTGCCACAAGTACTCCAAAATATAAACAGTGCTTTAGAAAGGCCAGGCTGCTTCTAGCTTGGGTTTGTGGGGCTCATATGACGTTATGAAAGTGACTCTGTGGAGAGGGAGGGTCTAGTGTAGCGCTCAGTCTTGCACTATGCTCTACAAAAGGTAGGACAGGACTGCTCTGATCTCTTGTGGAGAGTTCCACTCCCATGTGACCTTCACTGAAGATACCTGGACTCCAGTGCTAGCAATCCCTGTCCTAGCGGCCTACTGTGCTGCACCCGTTGATTGCAGTATTTTACAGACAGTGCAGAAGGAAAGGTGGTCTGTTATTTCAGTCTGGTCCTATTCCTGAGAGCTTTTAAACATCCTGCTCTTCCTTCTCATTATTTTCACACACATTTTGCAGGGGTGTAAATAATTACAAAAGATAAAGGAAGCAAAGAACTGGGCCAACTGAATGCATTTCATCTTACTCCTTGTCATACATGTCACTGCTTTTTAACTTCAAATTCACATGAACTCTGTTTTCAACACCAAGAAAAACACTGCACCTACTCGATTGTAATTTCCTAGTACTATGCACAGAAACTTGGATCTTGCTGATAGTATGTGAAAGTGCACAAGTACTTACCAATACCCAGCCAGTCACTTCATGTTTCTCAGGACCACCACGGGTCTGGATAGCTAAGTTGTCACGGTCTCCAGGCAGGAGCTCCAGCCTTTGGACACCATATTGTCCCCTTATTATCTGAGCAGAAATATTAAGAGTCAAGTTGTCAGTAGTTTGACAAGATTGCCATCATAAATACCTACACTACCTAAGGCCCAAAACCCCTAAAGCTTTGTCTACACACAAAAGCTGTCTGGGTTTAACTAGGCCCATACAGTTGGTGTGGTTATACTGATTTAAAGATGTTCCTACCACTATGACTATTCCTATAGGGAAAGAGAATGAATTACACTAGTATCTGCATCCTGGTGGGGAAGTTTGTACTGTTATAACACTGATAAAACAAAAAAATTATACCTCTAACCGACAGTTATACTGGTACAAAATCGGTATGCAGGCCTAAGACAGACTGTGGCCTGCAGACTGCATGTGAAAGTTTTACTGGTAACTAGTTTGAGTAAGGGTGTGATTTCTTACCATTATAGTTGTACCAGTAAAAGGCATAGTGTGGATGCATGGCTATACCTGTTAAAGCACCTCTATACCAGTATAACAGCAGCCCTACCAGTGGGGGAGTCTATAGTAGTTAACGCTGTACAACTTTCTAGCTTAGGCAATTTTCTAGCACTCAGCATTGTCCCTAACTCTGTTCCCACTGAAGGCAGTAGTAAAAAGTCCCCAGACTGCAATGGGAGCAGAGTTAGGCCACTGCCTAGCATTTCGGAAGATCCTATCCTAAATGCCTGAAATGGTGCAAGTATGGTATAAAAATGGGAAAAGGTTGTTCCATGGCGGCTGCTGTCTGTTTTTCAGTAGCACCTACAGTCCAAAGGGCCAGAGTTTCAAAGTGTTCAGCACCTAGCAGCTCCCACTGTCCTTAGTGACAATTTGGAGTGTGGGGCTGGATTCTCTATTCTCAGTGGAAGCTGCTGGGTGTTGAGCCCTTTTGAAAAAAATTGGCCTTTGGGCTCTGGAGCAGTGGGAAACTAGCACTGCACATGCTGTTACCAGGGCAGGGTCCATGGCACGTGACTTTCCCAAGGAGAATGGTGCACAAAGTAAACCAAAGGCAGCAACCTGAGCATCCACTGTCCTAAAACCAATGTTTTCTAGATGGCCATGGGCAAGAGTGGCAAAAAAGGCTTGTTACTGTGAAGCTTCTAGACACCAGTCATAGAATCATAGAATATCAGGGTTGGAAGGGACCTCAGGAGGTCATCTAGTCCAACCCCCTGCTCAAAGGGGGACTAATCCCCAATTTTTTTTTGCCTCAGATCCCTAAATGGCCCCCTCAAGGACTGAACTCACAAGCCTGGGTTTAGCAGGCCAATGCTCAAACCACTGAGCTACCCCTCCCCCTTCCACACTATGCTGCCTGGAAGCAGAAAACCACAGCTCTTTGTTAATGTGTAATTTGTGTTTTTTCAGCTTTTTTGGTGCAGGGGGAGGAGATAACAAAAGATCTGCCTCGTTAATCAGCAATGAAGCTAATGGTGTGAACAAGCTGCACCGAGCAATGTACCATACAATGTTCTACAGTTCATTTGGTACATATTATTCCTTTCCATGATTATTTTGTTTACAGAAAACAGCAGCTTAATTCTGCCCTTCCTGCACACTCCTCCGATGCAGTGCTCCAGTAAGTTCCCGCAAGTGCTGGTGAGTGGCGTGTTTAGCCCCTGTGAGGGGAGGTTGCCATTTCTCTGTGCTGGCTTTAACTGGTGCCTCTGGAGCACCCACCTAGTTGTGGAGCTTTAAAAGTCCACTGACGATGTCTGACAACGCACACCACAGCTGATTTCACTTACAAACAACAAGGTCTCCTTTGTCACCAGGAAATGTCTGTAGTTGGCCCTATTATTTGGGTGGGTCACTATTTGAACAGTTTTCCTCAGAATATTTTAAATATACATTATTTGAAATTGATTGTAAAGGGCTATAAACCAGCAGAGGTCCCAAGAGCCTGTGGGTTCGAGAAAACTAGAGAAGTGATGGAGTCTGCACACTGGCACTTTTTTTTATTTAACCTGCACACTGTTTGAAATTTAACACCAAATCAAAGGCTTCTCTCTATCCTATCTCTTCCAAAGAGGCAGCAAAGCGGGAGGAGCACAAGTGAATGTATGGAACCTGCCCAGCTTTGGGTTTCAGGCTCCTATGAGGTCCCAGTGCCAAATTCTGATGCAGTTTCTGAAGCTGAAGGTGCATCCTCCTTGCTATTAACTAAGGGTAAAAAACAAACCCAGGCCACCAGCACTATCAAACCATACACCCCAGGAGCAGCATCACTTCAAGGCTAACATAAGAAAACAAAAACACTACAGGATTACTATGACTCTGACCTGGGCATACAAGGCCAGTGTTTTCAAAGCCACAGGCATGTATGAGCTTATTATCATTGGGAAACATTCTTTAGCTACTCTTCACACCAGTCTTTAATATGGCAAAGCATAATTGTGTTTCTCTTATCAGCATAAACAAAAGTACAAAAGAAAAATATTTTTTGGGAGCAGAGGGGGGAATTAAACAAATCCAGATTGGGGAGTGGAAATGGGAAATAAAGATTTTCTTTTTTTTTTTTTTTAAATCTTTTTGCATTGACTGGAGAAACTCACTGGAAACATGCTCTTCTGCTGGTGGGTTTGCTGTAGCCTTTATCTTGCAGTTGCTGTCTAACAGTCGTAACTACCCTTTGGAAAGGGCTACAGTTCATAGGTGGTGCTGGATTTGGTAACACATTTGGTATTTTTCTAATCCTTGCACAAATGGGACTGCCCTTCTTTCTTGCCACTTTAAAAACAATGCAGAGCTTGCTATAAAATGCCTTTCTTTATTATGGACTAATTCTCTCTGCTCCTCTGCCATCTCCCCCAAGAGGTGAAGAATATGGTACTATAGTAAATAAACATGGCATAATCCATGCTACTCTTGAAAAACAGATCCTGTTCCACTGACCTTATTCCAAGTGAGCACTGGGGTTGGAATGCCCATGACTTCACAACTCAGGTAAATCTTTGCTCCAGTGACATTCCAGATTTCCTTAGGGGGAGTCACAATGGAAGGCCCTGAAAAGAGAGAAATCCTTTAAAACAAGTGACTCCAACTTGATGTCTGGTTCCCTGCTTCTTGTTTGTACCCAGTTACATTCCATAGTTTTTTAGTGCCAGGGACTCTCTAATACTATTATAGACAGGTTTAGTAGCTCCACCCAATTAAGGTTGCCCAACACTTCCCATTATAAGACTCTGTTTTCAGTTGCTTATGACTTTGCCAAATTTGAACTGTTTGGGCTGAAATTTTCCAGACTGGATGTCTGCCTCAGGCTGAATTAGTTTGGAAAATTTCAGCCAAAATGGTTAAGCTGCTTCTAAGAACCAAAATAGGGGAAAATATGTTGTGTTTTACCCGCATTAAAAAATTTGGGTGACATCTTCATTGAGAGGCTCTAACACCTTATTGCTTTGGAACAGGGGCTTGAAATTTGGCAGGGGAGTGGCCTTTGTGTCATGTATGTGCCTTTTGCCACTCCCATGAAAATCTGCAAAATTTGGCCAAGTCATAAGCCTTGGAAAAATTACAGTTTTCACATGCTCAGTAGAGACTTGCTAGAGTTTATCATCTAAAACCTTCTTAGATTCTGTCCACACTGAGCATGCTCCAGCCTGGGGACACAGGGGGCTAAGAAGGACTTTCTCTGCAATTGCAGCTTCCAGCTGTTCTGGGCTGTGCTGGGTTCCAAGCCTGAGTCTCCAGTGCTCTCAGTGACCCTTCCACTGGTGCCCAGGCAGTGAGAAGGAGGAAGCTGCCTGATTTGAATGCTGAAGGGACAAGAGCTGGATTGTGTGTGTGTGTGATCCGAGCAGCATCCCAATGCAAGAGAGCAAGGGGCTCCCTGATAGGGAGTTTCAGCTGGTCTGACCAGTTCAGTGTACCCCAACTCATTAATGTCATAACTGGTGTCTAAAAGGTATCATGTAAGATACCAATAGAAATCTAGTAACATACTAATCATTAATATTCTTGCGAAGTGTAGGTATGGAGGACAAATTCAAAATTACAAACGTATTGGGAATTACGTTCTTAAAGTGTGTCTGCCAGGCAGGGCTGAAATCACCCCACCCTAGACAATGGAATGTGGTTCAGCCATCTTGAAGGTACTTCCAAGGTATGGGAATCCATTTACATAAGAGGAAACAAAACCGTCAAGCTAACAAGGGGAGGAGATAACCACTGAGCATCATAGCAGGGGGAGGAGACTGCAGGAACAAATAAATCTGGATTTTAGCAAACACCAGGGAATCTCCTTCCTTACAGCTTGAAAGAACTTTACTGTAGGGGGTATTAGGGTAGCCAACTTTCTAACCGCACAAAACTGAACACCCTAGCCCCGCCCCTTCCCTGAGGCCCTGCCCCCCCACTCACTATATTCCCCCTCCCTTGGTGAGTCATGCTCCCCCACTCTCACTCACTTTCACTGGACTGGAGCAGGGAGTTGAGATGCAGGAGGGGGGGAGGGTTCTAACTGGGGGTGCAGGCTCCAGGGTGGGGCCAGAAATGAGGGGTTCAAGATATGGGAGGGGGCTCCAGGCTGGGGCAGGGAGTTGGGGTGCGTGAGGGGGTGAGAGCTCTGGCTGGGGGTGTGGGCTCTGGAGTGGGGCTGGGGGTTTGGGGTGTAGGAGGCGGGGTCCAGACTGGGGGATGGGGCTGAGGGATTCGGAATGTGGGAGGGGGCTGTGGGTTGAGGCAGGGAGTTGGGGTGCAGGAGGGGGTGAGGGCTCTGGGCTGGGGGTGCAGGCTTTGGTCTGGGGCTAGGGATGAGGGGTTTGGGATATCTGGGTTTCGGGGGTGCTCAGGCTGGGGCAGGGGATTGGGCATGGACTTACCTCGGGTGGCTCCCAGTCAGCGGTGCAGCAGGGCTAAGGCAGGCTTCCTGCTTGTCCTGGCGCCACGCTGCGCCCTGGAAGCAGCCAGCAGGTCCGGCTCTTGGGGGGGGGGGAAGGGTGGGGAGCCAGGAGGCTCTGTGCACTGCTTTAGCCTGCAGGCACTGCCCCCCAGCTCCCATTGGCTATGGTTCCTGGCCAGTGGGAGTGCGGAGCAGGTGCTCAGGATGGGGGCAGCATGCAGAGCCCCATGGCTCCCCTGCCTAGGAGCTGAACCTGCTGTCTGCTTCCAGGTGCAGCATGGTGACTAGACAGGTAGGGACTAGCCTGCCTTAGATCCGCAATACTGCCGACAGACTTTTAACGGTCCTGTCGGCGGTGCTGACTGGAGCCGCCAGGGTTCCTTTTTGACTGGGTGTTCCGGTTGAAAACTGGACGCCTTGCAACCCTAGAGGGTAGCCTTCAAAAGAATTCATTTCAAAGGTTCACTGGACTCTAAAGAGAGGGGCAAAGAACCCCCAGGGACCTTTCACCTAAAAATACAAAGGAACTGAACACTTTGGACTTTGTGGGAGATCCTGACCAAGGGGTGGTCAGCCATCTTGCTGTGGTAAGAATCTTACCTTGAACCAAGACTAGTTTTGTTAAATCTTTGCCTCTAGAAAGTGTTTTCACTTTAATTTGCTTGTCACCATTTCTAACGCTATCCCTTGTACCTGAACTCACTTAAAATTCCACCTCCTTTTGTTAATAAATTTGCTTTACTTTTAATCTGAACCAAGCCAGTACTGTGTTTTAACTGAAGTGATAGTTAACTCCAGTTAATGTGAGTGTGCTGTGGAGTTTGTCTCTTTAGAGGAGCAAATGAACCTTATTATTCCTCTGACTTGTCCAGGAGAGGGCTGGACATTGCAGAGTACATGGTTTTGGGAAAATTTGGGACTGGGGGTGCTGGAGTCACCTTGCCAGGTGTAACCAAGGCTGGTGGAGATCAGAGTGTGGCAGGGATGTAACAAGCAGGCCACTGGAGTCAGAGTTGCTGGTCCAGGGTTGCTTATCACACAGACACTAAGTGCATGCTGAGATGCTGGCTGGGAGTGTACAGACAAGGGAGCTACAGCACCAGAACATTTTAAGGCACCCAGGGTTACAGGGCAGGTAATTGGGGGTGGGGGAAGGAGATTGTGACAGAACCTTTGGTGGTGAAGGTGGGGCTTATGGGGAGGGGGAAAGGAAAACTGGGCCTCAGTGTTGGGGGGGGGAGACTTGGACTGGATGGGAAAAGAGTCTGGGGCTGGGAGACTGGGAGCTAGCAGGGGGGCAGAAGGGGGGTTCAATGGATGCAAAATATCCCCTGCGCATGCTCTTAGCAGGCTATGCATGTTCTCAGCTCTGCTGCACACTTCCTGTGTGACCTGAGACAAATCACTACCTTGCTCTGTGCTTCACTTTCGACATCTCTAACATGGGGATGATATTTCCCTACATCACAGGTGTCTAGTGAGGATGCAGTCACTAACCCATGCTAGGCCATCAAGACATTACACAACGAGTATCTCAACCAAAGTGTAACAAAGAAATGGTCTGGTAAATTACCCCACCAGCAAACTTCCAACTGCTACCTTCCCCCACAGTGCTGGCCCTTTGTTTAGGCAGAAGCTAGCAAATGTGTGTGCATGCATGAGTGAATGGGAAAGAGAAAGGTGTGGGGGGAGGGAACACAGGCCAATGCGTGTAAGAGCAGGGAATGGGGGGAGGGCAGGGACGGCTAGCTTTCCAAATGAGCTCAGCTCCCACATAGGCAGTAAACAAAGTGGCCAGACTGTTCTCAATGGAAGCTGCTGGGTGCCTGGGCCCTTTTCATAGATTCATAGAATATCAGGGTTGGAAGGGACCTCAGGAGATCATCTAGTCCAACCCCCTGCTCAAAGCAGGACCAACCCCAACTAAATCATCCCAGCCAGGGCTTTGTCAAGCCTGACCTTAAAAACCTTTTAAGGAAGGAAATTCCACCACCTCCCTAGATAACACATTCCAGTGCTTCACCACCCTCCTAGCGAAAAAGGTTTTCCTAATATCCAACCTAAACCTCTCCGACTGCAACTTGAGACCATTCCTCCTTGTTCTGTCATCAGCTACCACTGAGAACAGTCTAGATCCATCCTCTTTGGAACCCCCTTTCAGGTAGTTGAAAGCAGCTATCAAATCCCCCCTCATTCTTCTCTTCTGCAGACTAAACGATCCCAGTTCCCTCAGCCTCTCCTCATAAGTCATGTGTTCCAGTCCCCTAATCAATTTTGTTGCCCACCACTGGACGCTTTCCAATTTTTTCACGTCCTTGTAGTGTGGGGCCCAAAACTGGACACAGTACTCCAGATGAGGCCTCACCAATGTTGAATAGAGGGGAATGATCACGTCCCTCGATCTGCTGGCAATGCCCCTACTTATACAGCCCAAAATGCCGTTAGCCTTCTTGGCAACAAGGGCAGACTGTTGACTCATATCCATCTTCTCGTCCACTGTAACCCCTAGGTCCTTTTCTGCAGAACTGCTGCCTAGCCATTCGGTCCCTAGTCTGTAGCGGTGCATGGGATTCTTCCGTCCTAAGTGCAGGACTCTGCACTTGTCCTTGTTGAACCTCATCAGATTTCTTTTGGCCCAATCCTCTAATTTGTCTAGGTCCCTCTGTATCCTATCCCTACTCTCCAGCATATCTACCTTGACTCGTTGGACGTGTTGTTCCTTGACTTTAGCAAAGCTTTTGACACGGTCTCCCACAGTATTGTTGCCAGCAAGTTAAAGAAGTATGGGCTGGATGAATGGACTACAAGGTGGATAGAAAGCTGGCCAGATCGTTGGGCTCAACGGGTAGTGATCAATGGCTCCATGTCTAGTTGGCAGCCGGTATCAAGCGGAGTGCCCCAAGGGTCGGTCCTGGGGCCGGTTTTGTTCAATATCTTCATTAATGATCTGGAGGATGGCGTGGATTACACCCTCAGCAAGTTTGCAGATGACACTGAACTGGGAGGAGAGGTATCATAGAATAGAAATCATAGAATCATAGAATATCAGGGTTGGAACGGACCTCAGGAGGTCATCTAGTCCAACCCCCTGCTCAAAGCAGGACCAATCCCCAATTAAATCATCCCAGCCAGGGCTTTGTCAAGCCTGACCTTAAAAGCCTC